ACCCATATTCCCTATTCCCCTTCCCAGCAGGACCTTTCTCCCTAATAACCTTAACCATCTGACAGACTAAATATTTCATTTATTTTGCTAATGGTCAGCCTCCCCCATGATGGGGAGGATGTGCAGGACTTTAGTTCCCTGCTGTATCGTCAGCACCAACAATACTGCCCAGCATATAGCCAGCACTCAATGAAGTGTGCTGAATAAACAAACAAATAAATAAACTCACTACCTTGTCCCCAAACCTGCTCCTCCAGCTAGGCTCCCTTTCCCAGTGGGGGCACAATCACCCACTTTGTTATCCCAGCAAGGAATTCAGGGTCACCCTAACTTTCACTCTCCTCTTGCAAGCAGTCTGTCACCACACCCCAAAGCCCACCACTTGGCTCCCAGCATCTCCCACCCATCCTCACACCTGGTTCAGGTCAGCATCCCTGGCATAGGCAGCAGTGTCCCGAGTGGGCTCCTACACCAAGCTGACCCCTCAACCTATCCTGCACATTGAAGCAGAGCCAGCTTTAGGAACCAAAATATGACCCAATCACTTTCCTTTGAAACCCTCGTGGCTGGACAACATGCGGCCTTCCTCGCAGGGGTAAGGGCCCTTCCCCATCCAGTCCCTGCCTCCTCCCAGGTCTCTCCCTTCCTCACACCATTCCTTGCACCCTCTGTGCTTTCTCACAGACTCCATGCCCTTTGCTTTTCCAGGAATACCCTTCCTGCATCCCTGTGCCAGATTACCTTCTTTTCATGCTGCAGAATCCCATGCTCCTGCCATTGGGCCTTTCCCTTGGGCTGAGCTGGGTGCAGAAGACAGAGTCAGAAGACCTGAATTTGAGTCCTGGCTCCACTTACTAGCTGAACATGGCTGGGCTTCCATGTTTATTTATCAAGCATGTAATGATAATAATAAGTGCCTTGAGGGTAATCAGAAGCATTAAATGATATAACAAACATTATTGTAGGTGCCTTACAAACGTTGTGGGTGCTTAATATTCTCTCTTTCTGTGAGCTTACAGTCTCTGTACTTCTACTTGTCACAGCACTTTTCACCTTGGTCTGTAATTATCCCCCTGCCAGACCATGAGCCCCTGCAGGGCAGGGACGGCCTCATTCAATTCTGTTTC